AACTTAGTTAATGCCATCTCGCCTGATCGCAGTTTCCATGGAACACCCTTTGCTTTTGATCATCAAAAGAAATTTAAATTGCTTCTAGAACGAATGAAACTATCCACTCGCATAAACTGCTACACAATGTTCAGTGCAGAGCTATTGATTTTGATGGGTTTCAAATAAAAAATTTGGACTTCAACCCTCTTTCACCATCACCATCACAAACACAAGAAATGGAAACATGATATTATTCTGTTCTACATTTGGAACAACTAACACAGTTGCTCTGAATTAGGGTTCAGCAGGAGTGAGATGGTTAAGATTTACCTGTGTGACTATTGAGTATTCTTTTGGCTTTGTGAATTCCCATTCTGACCTCGGCATATTGCATCGGTATTGATAGAATCGGCTATAAGAGTCAAACGTTCCATTAAGACGGCAAACTGTACTATTTAAAAGGCATGTCCACGGAGGACTGTCTTGCGCAAAGTACGGGACGAGTATGAGCATTGAACTTGGAACTACCATAACACAAAATGCAACTTCTAGAAGAATCTGAAACTTTCCAAATTCTCCGATGTATGGCAGAATCTCATCCATGGTCAACGGTTGTGTAGGAGTATCGACCGGTGTTGTAGCCATTGTGTTTTGATATTTGGTTCTTGGTGGTATGGGACAAAACCACAATCACGTTCTCTATATAACTTTGCTTCGTACAAAACACATTATTGTACTTCAACCCGCTCAAAATAAAGAGATTTTCATTTGATCCCAGGGCCGTCGCTACGGGGGGGTGTGGGGGAGGGGGTGTGACACCCCCCAGACCCTAACCTTGTCGGCAAATTTTCGAAAATGGAAGTTTTGTCGTCAACTTCTTGGAAACTGGCAAATTTTCAGAAGAAAGACAGAGAATTGTGCCATCTTCAAATACATATTATCGGTTGTTGATGACAGCACCAGTCACAGTTGAAATTTATATAAACCTAACGAGAATATTTGATGATCGCTCAAACTCTCTCGTGCTAAAGGCCAGGCGCGGTCTGGCCCGGGTGGCAAAGTGGCGATCCCCACCGGGCCTCAGACATGTAAAGTAAAGAAAATTACGGGCCCTTTCTGCAAAAGTTGGAGTGGAGAAGATAATTTTCATAAACTGGAAACTAAAGTCACAGCCAAGGCCCCTAACATGCGTGCTGGCTTCACAACTAAACATCAGAATGAAGTCTGCGCGCAGGCCAAAGGGCCCCACTATGACCAACATCAACTATATAGAAACTTTATTTCAAATTTCGCACAAAGGCAAATCTGTCCTACTTCCTAGAGAAATAATTTAAAACTGTATGTAGCGATCAAGGAGTTGTTGTTTTTAGTTAGTTGTCTAGAGTCGCTATTGTTATATTTCTAGCTAATAATGACCTTCCACAGAAAGTTGCGCAGAAAGAAAGCTTCTCAAATTGGGAAATTTTTGGAATCAACTTTGCGAAAGAAACGAAATAGGAGCTTTGCAAAAACAAACTTTCGCGTTTTAGAGAAAATGGACTTTGCGTGATAAACATTTCTATTCAATTGAGGTTTCCTTCTATTTTTATTCCACAGGATACCAGCAAATCACCGAAAAAGATATAAAATTTGTCCAGCTAAAAAATTCTTCGTCAAAGTTTTAGAGAGGATCACCAGCAAATTTTTCTAGATATATCACAAAAATAAATTTTCGCATATTTAGTATTTCAGGAAGTTTTGCGTATCAATCATCTGCGATTTTAGGCCATAAACGCTAAAAAACGCAAAGGTTCCTTCCCTCGCAAGTTTCTTCTCGTGAAAATTTCTTTCTGCGAAAATTCCTTTCCGCGAAAGTTTCTTCCTTGAAAGTAGTAAGCAACCGTAAAAGACCTTCCCCTGCTGCCCTTCAAGTTTTTTTTTTCTCTGAAACCCTCTGCAAGGTGCATTCTTAAAAGTTATGATGAAGTTTTTCTGTTTGCTAATTGTTAAATGAACAACGCGTTTAAAATAATAAAGTTTGGTATAGACTAAGGAATCTGTATCGTTTTAAGTTCTCTCAATGATGTTTTAGTGTGAATAAGTTTGTAGGTCACTAGATTTCAAATTATAGCCAATATACTAACCTAGACAAATAAAAAGATGACACAAAAAGAAAAGAACATGCAGGTTGAATTTTTGGTTATTTTCTCGGCTCGAATATATATATTAGGTTCGCTTGAAAATATTGCAAAAATTGTCAGACTAGGATTGGTATTTTGAACTGTTATTAGAGTTTCTTAGAGTTACAAATAGAACCATTGTTTTGCTGTTATTGTGCAGAGTTCAACTCCATACATAGGATCCTTGATTTAAAAAGAGAACCACAACCGTCAATAATTGATTTGAACTGAGCATATTTTAGCCTCTTCTCGCATTAGTTGGTGTGGCTCAAAAAAGTTTATCTACCACACCCTGAACCGGGACCTTTTGGTTTGCTGGCTACCCTGCAATTATGACACTGAGCAAAACTGAAATATAGCAGTTCGCGAAAAAATATTCGCGAGTTTTATCAATGATAATTATAATCATTTGAGAACCACGCCTGTATCTGTTGCCACGCCAATTTTGTCGGCAAATCACCGGTTTTGCAACACCCCCCAAATGCTCTGAAACCCAAATGTCCCAAGATAGATGGATAGAAATGTTTCAAGGTTTGTCAAAGCCTGCAAAACAGCAGCTCTTGTGCAAAACAGATCCAGAAGTCTTGGGTTCGGGTTTCAGCAAAAACCAAACTTTCGCTTGAGAGAGGAGAGTGGCCAGCTCACAATGATTCCAGGCAAAGGGATTGAAGCAAAGTTGAAAGAGCGATTGGGAAATTGCTCGATAAACAAGCAACAAATACAACTAACCCCCATTTTCTGTAATTCCATTGTGCAATCGCATAGCAGTGGAATGGTGCATTTTTTAATTCGTCATTTTTGTGACCTTGCCGAGCCAAGTTTTATGCGTTCTTGAGAAACTGGCGGTATGGCTAGATATTTCCAACTGAACAAAAATGTGTTTTACTTTTTTAAATTTTCAATGTTATAATTTGCTTGTTGCTAAGAATAATAGAGTGCCGAAGTGTGACGTCATCAAAAATCTATTTTTAGAATTTCTTGAATTTGGCCACATAATCTGAAAGAACGGCATAAAATACCTCTCAATATGCAAAATTAGTTAGATATGTTCCAAAGTGGGCGAGATATGACCGATGAAAGATTTCAAGTTTGCTAACGGGTTACTGTTCTTCTGGCCTGGTTCATAAAGTTATGAAACAAGATCAAATTACAGAGGTTTGATGGGGTAAGAGCCTACGCTTATGTTGCCATATCTTAGCCAATTTGCCAATTTGTAACACATCAGCTGATTTTGCATACTAAGAAGTATATTGATTTTGCATATTTAGAGGTATTTCATGATGCTCTTTCAGGTTCTGGGATCAAAATTCAAAAATACTAAAAATATATTTTATGACATCATCACTTCGGTACTCTGTGATCGAGTTGGGAGTTGTTGCCATTAAAAATGTGTAGGTTTTAAATTTTCTGCAGACAACAATGATGAGGGCTTCGAATATTTAAGCCAGTGCAAAAACTGAAGAAACCTTGTCTAGATGGACGGTTATTAGCATATTCTGCCTCTAGCAGGTAAAAACTAATTATTTCTAACCAAAGATTTGATTAGTTGGGGTTTTAAAAAGTAATTTTCAAACTAGAGCTACTAGATATTCTAACAGGACATATCATATGATTCGGTATAATCCACGTATTGTTTACAGTACAAAAAAGGCCCTTCCATCCATTCAAAAGGATTGCGTTTCTACCACCCAAAAGAGTTATTTATAAATTTACGTGCCAGTGTGATTCTGGCTACGTAGGAAGCACTACCCAAATATTGGATGATAAGATAAAACAGCATGTTCCGTCTAGTACTATAAACAAAACTCACCCCCAAGGAGAACAACCACCTCGGTCTTGCAGATCTTAAAGTACGACTAAAACTAAAACACGCGATTCTGCTATCGGGCAACATTTACTGGAAAACCCAGATTGTGCAAAAAACTATAGTGGCGACATGTTTCGGACAATTGCTAAAGCCCGATCGTCGTTCCATCTAGCAGTTTTGGAATTTATCTACATAAGCCCGAAAAAACTGCTATTATGCAGACAAAAGGAGTTCGTTTTCACCTTAGAACTCCATTGGTAAAAATTTCAATAGGCAAGCGGCACTGATTGGGCAACCTCAACAGTCATGTGCTCGCGTTTCTATTTCGATCCACAACTGGGTATATATATTTCTTAGCGTAGAGTTTTCGATCTATGTTCTGACGTTCTAAACTCTGAAGAGTGTTAAACAAAAAGCTTTAGTTTACTCAAATATTGGCTTTTTTCAAAGCCATTTTCAAGTTTTGTACCACCAAAATTATATTATATATATTTATATATAGTTAAAATTATATTATATAGTATATATATTTCTTAGCGTAGAGTTTTCGATCTATATTCTGACGTTTTAAACTCTGAAAAGTGTTAAACGAAAAGCTTTAGTTTACTCATTTTCAAGTTTTGTACCGCCAAAATTATATTATATATATTTATATATAGTTATAATTATATTATATAGTATATATATTTCTTAGCGTAGAGTTTTCGATCTATGTTCTGACGTTCTAAACTCTGAAGAGTGTAAGACGAAAAGATTTGGCATACTCAAATGTTTACTTGTTTCATGGCATTTTTAATTTTTGTATCACAAAAAGATTGTTTGCATATTTAGTAAATATTAACCCGTTTGGTTATGATTATGTTTAGCCAAGTACTATGCACAAGACACAACTTTTGTTATATTTCAAGGGGTCTCAATCAACTGTGGGCCTAGGGCCCCAACAGATGTAAATGCGGTCCTGGCTTTTACATCTAATTCTCTTCGTTGTTTCGCAAGGAGGGACGCTTTTTGTGGTACCTGTCGAAAAACGTGTTCTTGTTTGTGCGTGGTCCAGGATGCATTGTGCGTGGAGCAGGATGCATTGTGCGTGGTTCAAGATGCATTGTGCGTGGAGCAGGATGCATTGTGCGTAGAGCAGGATGCATTGTGCGTGGAGCAGGATGCATTGTGCGTGGAGCAGGATGCATTGTGGGTGGAGCAGGATGCATTGTGTGTGGAGCAGGATGCATTGTGCGTGGAGCAGGATGCATTGTGTGGGACTAATATGCATTGTCTAAAATAGCTTTTGGGGGCGTTTTTGAAATTGTTCTGCATCTCATCATATTCACCCTGTCAAATTCTGTACCAAATTAATGCTTGACCATAAAATGCACATTTCATTCTATTTTCTGAATCAATTTTGACCAAATCAATTTTCTGAAAAGTCTGAGCATCATTGAAGAACTAGGCAAAACAAGAATGTCCGGTTTAGAGTCTGGAAGTGGGGTATTTCAACAACGCTTATTAAAGCATAGTATGCTTCTTTCAATTTTGTCTCACCAATCAATTTCATTCAGAATTTTATATTTGAAAGTTTTTGATCAACCCATTTGGTGGAACTCACCATACAAACGCTCCTCCGCTTCTCTGCTTGGCACTCTGTTTCCGCGCTCGAAAGTTTGTGGCTCTGGTACCCAGGGTAAATTCAGTAATGCTTTAATAGCTCTGGTACCCAGGGTAAATTCAGTAATGCGTTAATAGCTCTTATTGTGGTTGTACATGATATACAGAACTCTTAATAAAAGAGTTGTAAACGAACGACCTCACCAATCTTTATCTTTATATTTATGATCTTGATTTTTGGTTTATGCTGCCTTAGGCCATCGATACAATGAAAACAAATCTGCTGTGTTTTTGTGCTTCTTTTCTCCAGCGAAATGAAAACTAACTAACTACAATACAGGGCGAATACACATAAAACAAGGATATGTTACAGAAGTGTTGTAGATTACCTTGCTGTTGGTACGAAGACGATGGAAGGTGTTAATGGCTATGATAAAATGGAGAACATGATTACATTCGACAATGGTCACTGCAATGCTTCCTTTTTTAGAGGTTGGGGGGAAGGGGTGGGGGTTTAGAAGTCTTTTTATAAGGAACTTCTTTATAAAAAACCTGCATGTAGTAGGTAGAACAAATTAAAGAACCTTTTAAAAATTAAAAAATTAAAGACCAACAACCTAAGGAGCTTCTCATCTTTGGAATTTATTATTCTTACAAACAATCAAGTTAGGAAGCCGGTTCCATCCATTTTTGTGTAAAGATGGTAGCGATCGAGGGTTTCATTGTGTAATTTCGAGTTTTACATTTTTTCTTGACCGAGTTTCCACTTTTTCATACATGAAATGTCTTTCTAGTTTATTATCCGTTTTTCACCTTATTTGCATCTACAGTTAAGAATCTAGCGACACTAACACAGAATTGTAATGGAGGAGGAGCAATTTTCGTAAATTAAGAAACTATTAGGGAACTTTTAGTACTACAATTCGATCAAAAAATCTAAAGATGAGGAACTTCGAGAACTAGGCCTCTAGCAAGGTTCTTTGTAAAGTAAAAAGCATGTATATTGGGTTTGGTTTGATAATAAAATTTCAGCACTTTGCTCCTCCTTGCTGAAGGAGGGTGGAAAATATCATGCAGTTAGGTCTTTTATCTCATTAACGTTTTCCTTCTCTTCTTTTAGATCTACCTCCTTTACGTGACTACCCTTCATTTCAAATTGATCAGCAAGTGTTTCCAGTGTTTCCTTATTAGCCGTCTCAGGCAGCCTCAACAACAAAATCGCACTTATGACAGCTAAACCGCCCATTATTGAAAACGGTAGAACCACGTGGAAGGCGACGAGCCATTTTGCCACCCAAGGTGCTAGTGAAGAACCAATATGGGCAAAGATTTGCAAGTAGCCCATGGCTGCACCCCTGTCAAGGAATTCATATATTGAAGGTATTTGAATTTTTTGCTTTATTAATTCAGTAGGCCAAGATTAACAGAGGGAAATTATTTCCACAAGGGTGCTGCCAAATTGTATATATCGTGTATGTATCAAAAGCTCTAGAATTGATTAACGTTTCGGGATATGCTCCTTCACAATAACCTTCATTTATATTTGGAGCGTAAAATGAGGAATACAAAGCAAAAGAACAAAAATAGCACACTTTACAAGCAAAGATAATAACAGCTGATTTAACGACACAAGTAAAGTTTTTTTAGGCCGTGCCGGAGATGTAATATATTTATATATATAAATGTATATATATGTAGTATATATGTAGTATATATATATATCAATATATATGTAATATATATATATATTAATATATATCATAGATTGAAGAAAGTAAAACTACATGGTTTATCTCTACAAGCCTGTTTCGTGAGTAACTCACTCTTCAGGAGACTGACATGTAGTTTTACTTTCTTCAATCTATGATATATCACGCTCTACGTGCTAACGTATTGAGCTACGGAAGTATCAAAAGACAAATTTCTATATATTAATATGTATGTATTTGATCAAAGTCCAAGTCGAATCTAAAATAATTTATTAAAATAATAAGGCACCTATACTAATACACTTCGACTTGTTCAGAAGATAACTGGTATTTTTTATATATTGATATTCGTCTCCAATCTTCTATTTACCTTTTTCTAATTGGTTAAGTAATCGGAAAACTCAGTGACTTTCAATGAGTTTTCGCTATTTTTGCTGAAATTTTTGCCTAACAGGATTGATTTTTTTAATTAATCTTACCTTACGCAAGTCGGGTACATTTCGGTCGACCATATGTAAATAGAATCATGTGACAACGTGATGCAAAACCTTCCAAGCACTCCAAAGAAAACTCGAAGACCAACAAGTTCTGGATGAAAAAAGTTATGTCAATCCATGTACGAATCAATCGTATCAGAATCATTTAGTTTTGCATGAAAATGGTTTATCTTTCCCGGAACAGGTGTTGACTTTAACAAGTAGGGTGATGTTTTCAAATAATGATGTTGACGATGTCTTTAATGGTGCAGTACTGGCAGCTAATATAAGGCCGGACGTATTAGAAGTCCTGAATGGTGCAGAACTCTTCTAATTTAGGTCAAGGAAGATGAAGCACTTCTCGAGGTGTGAGCATGATTTTAAACCCATTAGACATAAAGAGGACACTGCTACAAAGTACCTAAGATGCTTCTTTGCTATGTTAGAATGTTTTGCTCAAAGAAGCGACTTAATCCCCATTTGCATTGTTCCTTGCAAGCTTCAACGTAAATAACGTTCTCTGCACACCTTTTCGTTTACACTAGCAAAATGCAATCAAGACAACTTTGCTGTGCTACCCTGAGCAGTTTTGATCCTGGTTCGAAAGCGAACGGATTTAGTATTTCCTAAATATTTTCTTAGAATTTGAACAAGGACATCACATTAAAATTTGAACGAAGACAGACAATGTTTGCAAAATAGTACCTTGACAACATTTACCCTATCTGGAATTGTACACTTTCATTTTATATATTTATAGAGGCAAACTAAGTATGAGAATGGCTGCAGCTTGAAAATCTTTGTGAAAAACTTACCCGATGGTTTGCTCCCTGACTTTTTTGGAATCAAGGAGACAGCGATGCAGGATATTCCGGCAATAAACATGGAAATAATTACTGTCTTCTTTCTTCCAATTCTACAAGATAAAGTACGTTCCTGTAGATTTGAAGTTTAGTGAGTTATCCAGGGATCATCGTCATTGACCCACTGCTGTTTATGTTATAATTAATAGTACAAGTTTTGATCCATTACTTTCCTTTAAGGCAAAATTCAGATCTTTCGACGGACGTATCTCAGCAATGTAAATGAATTTGCACATTTAGAGATATTTCCACTTTCAGATTGTATGGTCAAAAAACTTTTATATTGTTTTCATTAAGCCATACAATTTGCTCTTTAGTGATGGATTTTGATAGGATGAGCGATATAAGTTCAAGGTTTCAATATTACGCCCCCACGTAAAAAAAACAAGACATAGAACGAAGTAACTCACTTGTTGCAAAGGTATATTGCAAGAACAGCAGCCGGTATGTCGAATAAGCTGGTAATGATGTAGTCCCTGTGTATGTGGCCGCTCAAGTCACCGGCGCCAAATGAAACTCCAAAGAACACCAAGCCACACACCATCCTGAAAAACAGTAAACTATGTGTAGTTAAAATTTGCAGCAAAACTGCAGTGGTGAGTTACTTCTTCTTCACGTACACAATCACACAAGAACCCTTAGCTAATTGGCTAACTAACAAACTTTTCCACATTTCAAAAGAATTGACACGCACTGAAATCTTCCTTCACGTTTTGTAAAGTTGGCTAAACTGTGTCTGTCTCTCTCTGGTAATTAGTGACAAACCCCATCATCAATCACCATCTGTCAACAGCTATTGTATCTACCAACGACTCCACTTTATCTTTTAGAATCACAAACAAGTATTTACACACCATGTATATCCTTGGAGTAAGCTCCTTACTGCGATTTTTGCAGGCTTGAATAGGTGAAGATAATGTTTTATTCCGCTGGAACAGTTGTCTTCAATCTTCTTTAGTTGAACTTCTGGTAGCTCTTTTCCATTACACTTAGCGATCTTTCGAAAGATTGCAAGAGCCTCGTCATTTCTTCCATTCACGTGAAGCCATCTAGCTGATTCGGGAATGGCCCTTGCAAGAAAATAAGGATAGTCTATGAGAATTAACAGTCTGATAGTCTATCCAATATTGACTGGCCATGCAAAACAGCTGAGGCAAAAAATATCGCAGTCAACAGAGGTTTTCCAAGAAACCTTAAAACAATATTGCTCCACAACCCTTCCTTCTTTTCTGCAGCCAGTTTTTTTGTATAGACATCAAAAGATATTTTTTAAAAATTGAAAGAGTCAAATCAATTGCTTTTCGATTAAACAGTCTTGGTGTGGCTTTGTTGTTTCATGTAGCTTGCGTGCAGACTCTACTGTTTTCAACTAGGCTCCTCAGTTTCTACCTTTCCGCTGAGTTGAGTTGAATAAAATCGCTCGTAAGTGACTTTAAAGTCATTTTGAGGACTGGAACCAAATTGAATGTTCTAAAATTAGCTTTAAGCGGACTTTTTCGGACATTTTATTCTACACTTTAAAGTAAATAAGTTGTGAAGTTTTCATGCTTGTATCATATTTTGCACGATTTGTGCCTTGAGTGCTGGATGGTATCTTAGTACAAATGGAACCCTTTCCTTCCTTCCCTAGTCTTTGGTTTTACTATCCGAATTATCAAGAAGATATATATATAAATATATTCCGTTGCTATATGGCAAATTTGATTTCAATTACTCTCTCTCTAATCTACGTACTGAACTAAGCTTTTGTGCTAAAACTGAAAAGTGGCCCAGTCCTATTCCAGGTTTAATATATATGAAATGCGTACACCCTAAAATCAAAATAGAAAACCAATACAAGAAATGGTCGTTGGAACTTCAAACATCAAACTTAGTACTCTAACAGAGATCGGCAATGCACTCCCTATCTTTGCTTTAGCCCTAAGCTCAATATTGTGCTAATCCACGCGGCCAAGAAAAAGAAGGATCCCTGACAATGAATAAGAAAATTTCATGGATTAAACTTACAAAAAAAACAGCAAGATGAAAAAATATGGAGCTGTGATGACTATCATCAGTGTTTTCCACGTCTGAACGAAGAAGGCTATAACACCAAGGATGACAACGCTTACTGCAGATATTAGCCAAATTGCTATACCCGCAAATGGACGCCATTTTGGGCCTACAAATTCTGAAATTAGAACGATTGACTGTATAAAAGTTCCTGGTATGAAGAACCCAAACACTGCTCGTGCAAAAATGTAGAACCAAATACTTGGAGAGAACGAGCTGATGAACCCAAACAAAAGGATAAAAGTTGTCGATATCAGCATATTGATTCTTCTACCATACCTAAAAACAAGATCCAAGTTTTAAGCAAAATGTTCGACATTGACAGCGATAATGAAAAGGGCTGGTGCAGTATTGGAAACACAGAATAAAACAATAGGACTGAATGGCTGGGCCACTCCTTCTTTTGGGGACACGCTTAAGAGAATAATTTGGCACACCTTACATTGCCACAGGATTTCCTTCTCTTTAAATTTTTTTTACGCTTATCAAGCACGAGAAAAAGTGTCGTTAGATAAACAAAGCAGAGATCGTGAAACCGCTGATGTTTCTATACATTTTATTACGATCAATAGATCATCAGATTCATTGTGGACCAAAAATGATTCAGTTTTCCAATTACTTACCTATCTGACGCCCAACCAAGAACGACTGCTCCAAATGCCCAGCTGATAAAAACTGAAGATGTGGCCAAGTAACTGTATACTTCAGTGTCGCAGTGCAAATCGAACTGAAATAAACGTTCATTTTAAATTTGAAGTATAGAGTAAAACCCCGTTTGTAAGTGCCAGCATTTTCGGTTAACCCTATCTAGACCAAGCTCTTTTGAGCATCCTCAGGCTAATTCAGCCCCCCCCCCCGTCATTTTTCCAGACTTGTTAGCAGTAGAGGGTTAAGATTATACCCATCAAAATATCATGACTTCATAATGAAATTTTAAATCTTATAAATTTTTTTTATATTTAGCAAAAAAATCTTTAAGATTTACTTAAGATATCACAGAAACGTAATTTAATGTAGGTTTCGCGAAAGCTAAACAAAACAGCTTATCATAAACAATGATGTCACTAAAGAAACAAGATTTTTTGCGCAAGTCTAGATACAGGTCTCATGCCTTCCTATATCCCACTCAGAAGCACAGGATGAATCAAAACAAATCAAATATCATTTAATAAGTAAAAGCTTACTTTCCTCATGTTGGCAATTTCTAAAGATAGTTTTTGAGTTTTTTAACAACGGCAAAATGTTTCTTACGATTAAAATTGTAATGATTACATTTGGCAAGGTAGCCAATGATTTGACGTTGTCTAAAGAGAACTCTTTTAAAATCTTTTTGCCATGGCAACTGTATGCATGAGCATCACTGCTGAAAATTCTTGTTTGCGTAAGAATATGAGAGAGGGGCTAAATCACCCCTCACCTTTCTGGTTCAGATAGGATTTAGCGTAAACGGATACTTCAACATAGTTGGACCCTGTTTAACCGGAGTTAGTCCGGAGGATCGCCTCCAACACCCCTAAGTTAGGCATGCGTTATTTACCCCAGATGGTTTTGGAGCACATTCCTTGCTAATCCCACCTTCCTTTTTGTTTATTGGTTCTTGAGTTCCTACTTTCTTCCGTTTCTCAGTAGGCCTTAGCTTTCCTAATGGTACTTATCTTTGATTGACGCTTGGCCAACAGAAATGAGTGAGGGTGGGTAAAGGTGGTTTAGGTTATATGGGCCTGCGAAATAATGTTATTTGTGATTCATATGTATAAAACCATGATAAATAACGTAGCTCCTTATTATATCTTGATAAAATTTCAACCTTTTTACCAAAAAGATTGTTTAATTATCGTTAATCCTAATTTTCGCAGAAGCCAACAGGCGCCTGACAAAGATAATTTAAAAAAAAATGTAAGTAATCGTTTATACGTTTGCATGTCGAAATAATGCTTGACAAGCAACTTAGGCTACGTCCACACTGCTCCGTATTCATTTGGCTCAGTTTTCGTTGATGGAAACGCTGTCCGTTTACACCTATCAAATGAGTACAATTTAAATACGGTAAGTGCTCACACTGCTCTAACAGAAACGCTGGAGTATGAAGGGTCAGAATAAGGATCAGAAAGAACAAGATGAAGAATAACTGCCAATTTCTGGATCGAATTTTCCATCCTGTTTTTTCGGACCCCTTATTCTGACGTTACATGCTCTCAGAAGTTTCATATGAAAAAGATTTGAGCGTGTTTAAAAGTTTTGCTTTTTTCAAAACACAAAAGCTCATCGCAAAGGTTCATCAGATTATTTTTGCAATACCAAAAACTTATTTATCCAATTTTAAGCATCAATCTCATCTTGTGTATGTATTGTTTTCATGTAAATGTACCAGCCCACTGTAAATAAATCAATAATAGAATGATAATCATAACTTAGTTAATGCCATCTCGCCTGATCGCATGGTCCATGGAACCTTTGGATCACCAAAAGAAATTGAAATTGCTTCTAGAACGAATGAAGAATGAAACTGTTGACAGTCCATAAACTGTTACAAATGTTCAGTTGCTGTGTTGGTGAGTTTTGATGGGGTCAAATCAAGAATTCGGCACATTACCCCCTTTCACAACAAAGAATCGGGAACATGATATTAGTCCTGTTCTAAATTTTGAACATTCAACAGTACAGTTGTCTGAAATAAGGGTTCAGTAGGAATGAGCTGGGTTAAATTTTACCTTTGTGCACTATTTGAGTATTCCTTTGCTTTGATTCTTATAGCCGATTCTATAATACCCGATGCAACTATGCCGAGGTCAGAATCGGGAATCAACAAAGCCAAAAGAATACTCTAAGTAGTCCATCCAGCGTAAAATCTTAGACCAGCCCTCATTCCCTACTTGTAAGCCTTATTTCAGGACAATGTGTTAGTTGTTCAAATTTGAACAGAGAATAATATCTGTTCCCATTCTTTGTGTTGGTGAAAGGGGGTTAAGTCCGAATTCTTGATTGAACCCATCAAAATCACCAACACAGCACTGAACATTGTGTATCAGTTTATGCGACTGAACAGTTTCAATTCGTTCTAGAAGCAATTTCATTTTCTTTTGGTGATCCAAAGGTTCCATGGACCATTGCTATCAGGCGAGATGGCATTAACTAAGTTATGATTATCATTCTATTATTGATTTATTTACAGTGGTGCTGGTACATTTATCATGAAACAAACATACACAAGATGAGATTGTGCTTAAAATTGGATAAATAAGTTTTGTATTGCAAAAAATAATCTGATGAACCTTTGCGATGAGCTTTTGTGTTTTGAAAAAGCAAAACTTTTAAACACGCTCAATTTTTCATATGAAACTTCTGAGAGCATGTAAGTCGAAATAAGGGGTCCGAAAAAACAGGATGGAAATTCGATCAGAAAATTGGCAGTTATTCTTCACTTGTTCTTCCTGACCTTATTCTGACCCTTCATACTCCAGCGTTTCTGTTTAGGCCAGTGTGAGCACTTACCGTATTTAAATTGTACTCATTTGATGTGTAACGGACAGCGTTTCCATCAACGAAAACTGAGCCCAAAGTAATACGGAGCAGTGTGGACGTAGCCTAAGTTGCTTGTCAAGCATTATTTCGAAATGCAAACGTATAAACGATTACTTACATTTTTTTTAAATAAATTAATCTTTGTCAGCGCCTGTTGCTTCGCGAAAATTAGGATTAGATAATTAAACACATTTTGGTAAAAGGTTGAAATTTTATAAGATTAATATAGGACTATCGTATTATTCTTAGTTTATACATATGAATCCAAATAACATTATTTCGCGCCCTTTATACTAAACACTTTACCCACCCTCACTCATTTCTGTTGGCCAAGCGTCAATCAAGATGTACATTAGGAAAGTAAGGCCTACTGAGAACGGAGAAAGTAGGAACTCAAGACAACCAATAAACAAAAGGAAGGGTGGGATAGCAGAGAATGTGCTCTAAACCATCTGGGGTAAATAACGATGCTAATTAGGGTGTTGGAGGATCCTCCGGACTAACTCCGGTTAAACCAGGGTCCAACTATGTTGAAGTCCGTTTACCGCTAAATCTCTATCTGAACAGAAAGTGAGGGGTGATTTAGCCCTCTCTATATTCTTACGCAAACAAGAATTTTCAGCGTGATGCTCATGCATACAGTTGCATGGCAAAAAGATTTAAAAGAGTTCTCTTAGACAACGTCAAATCATTGGTACTTGCAAATGTAATCATTACAATTTTAATCGTAAGAAACATTTTGCCGTTGTTAAAATAACTCAAAACTATCTTTAGAAATTGCAACATGAGGAATAGTAAGCTTTTACTTATTAAATGATATTTGATTTGTTTTGATTCATCTGTGCTTCTGAGTGGATATAGGAAGGCATGAGACCTGTATCTAGACTTGCGCAAAAAATCTTGTTTCTTTAGTGACATCATTGTTTATGATAAGCTGTTTTGTTTAGCTTTCGCGAAACCTAATATCTGTGATATCTTAAGTAAATCTTAAAGATTTTTTTGCTAAATATAAAAAAATTTATAAGATTTAAAATTTCATTATGAAGTCATGATATTTTGATGGGTATAATCTTAACCCTCTACTGCTAACAATCTGGAAAAATGACGGGGGGGGGCTGAATTAGCCTGAGGATGCTCAAAGAAGAGCTTGGTCTAGATAGGGTTTAACCGAAAATTGCTGCACTTACAACGGGTTTTATCTATACTTCAAATTTAAAAATGAACGTTTTATTCAGTTCGATTTGCACTGCGGACACTGAAGTATACGTTACTTGGCCACACACTTCAGTTTTTATCAGCTGGGCATTGTGAGCAGTCGTTCTTGGTCTGGGCAGTAGTATAGGTAAGTAATTGGAAAACTGAATCCATTTTTGTCCACAATGAATATCTGATGATCTATTGATGCGTAATAAAATGTATAGACAACATAGCGGTTTCACGATCTCTGCTTTGTTTATCTAACGACACTTTTTCTCGTGCTTGATAAGCGTAAAAAAAATTTAAAGAGAAGGAAATCCTGTGGCAATGTAAGGTGTGCAAATTATTCTCTTAAGCGTGTCCCAAAAGAAGGAGTGGCCCAAGCCATTCAGTCTTATTGTTTTATTCTGTGTTTCAATACTGCACAGCCCTTTTCATTATGCTGTCAATGTCGAACATTTTGCTTAAAACTTGGATCTTGTTTTTAGGTATGGTAGAAGAATCAATATGCTGATATCGACAACTTTATCCTTTTGTTGGGTTTCAGCTCTGTTCTCTCCAAGTATTTGGTTCTACACTTTTTTGCACGAGCAGTGTTTGGTGTTCTTCATACCAGGAACTTTTATACAGTCAATCGTTCTAATTTCAGAATTTGTAGGCAAAATGGCGTCATTTGCGGTATAGCAATTTGGCTAATATTGCCCAGTAAGGTTGTCATCCTTGGTGTTTATAGCTTTCTTCGTTCAGACGTGGAAAACACTGATGATAGTCACACAGCTCCATATTTTTTTCATCTTGCTGTTTTTTTTGGTAAGTTTAATCATGAAATTTTCTTATTCATTGTCAGGTCCTTCTTTTCTTGGCCGCGTGGATTAGCACAATATTGAGCTTAGGGCTAAAGCAAAGATAGGGAGTGCATTGCCGATCTCTGTTAGAGTACTAAGTTTGATGTTTGAAGTTCCAACGACAATTTCTTGTATTGGTTCTATTTTGATTTAAGGTGTAAGCATTTCATATATATTAAACCTGGAATAGGACTGGGCCTTTTCAGTTTTAGCACAAAAGCTTAGTTCAGTACGTAGATTAGAGAGAGAGTAATTGAAATCAAATTTGCCATATAGCAACGGAATATATTT